ATTTTTTTCCCTTTTTTTTCTTGGCATACAGACTTTCTGTCCACTTATCAGATGAGAAAAAAAGTAAAAGGATGGCATTTTAGCTCACTTAGGCCTTGTTTGATAATCCAATTCAGCACTTAAACTTAATAGATTCAGATCTTAATGTATTTAGATGCATTTGATAATAAAAAATTGAACATCTGAATTAATTAAGTGGCACTAAATTTTCTGGAAAAAACTTGCTCCAAAAAATAAGTGATAAGTTATTCACTTATATACACTCAAATATATTTGATTGAACATTAAATAATTCAATAATTTAATGGATTCAGACTTTAAATTTCAACTTTCAATTTTCAAATTTTAATTTTATCAAACGCACCCTTAGACGTCTCATTGTGAAGTTTGAAGCTGCGAATCAACTAATTCCAAGTCTTATTAAATGCTTGCTATTTGTGAACTGTTTCATTCAATTGATAACTGTACCCCATGAATAGATGTGTGAAACCACTAATCTGGCTTTGGCAGTAGTCAATTTATATAGTGGATCAAGTTTTTGAAAATTTTCTAGCATTAAATCTATGCAAAATGACCTCTTTCTCTTCTCCAGTAATTATTTTCCTACTTCCTTATAGTTAGAAGCATTATCCATGATGACTTGGACAACATTTTCTTCCCAATCTTTTGTACAACTTTATCTAATAATTCAAATAACTTTTGGGTTGTTTTAGAAATATCAGTTGACCTATTATAGGTGGAGTCTTTCCAATTCCACAAGCCAATGTGAGAACTAAAACAATCCACTACGAGAAGTGAACTCTATCTCTACTTTCCTCAATATGGCTGAAGAAGCCGACCAGCGCTAAAATTATTAGCAAATCTCTCTCCCTCTGGCCAAAATGGTTCGGCCAAGAAAGCTGCGAGAATTCATAGGCCGCCTCAAAGACAATCCTTCACTAATCATTCTCACCGTCAAGTGATCATTCTACACAGGTCTTGGAAAAGCTCTGCTTCCAATGATTAGGTGCAGAAATTTTGGTAAAGTTTTTCCTTTTATCTCATTAATCTTCTTGGTTGGGTATTTGTTGTATTTTGAACATCTGGAGCTTGGAGCAGTAGATTTAGTTAATTTGCTACAAAAATTTTGGGGCTACTTTCTTTAGAACTAATGCAAATTAATAAAGGTTTATTATAATCCACCAGTTGTTTGATAATTTGCCTCTTTCACCAGTTGTTTGATAATTTGCCTCTTTCAAACTAAGTTCAAGGAAATTATGTCCTTTGAGAACTAGCATCATTGTTTGGTCCCAGACATGGCAGCCCTCCAGCCACCTGCTGGGGGCAAATTCCGCATTCTCCAATCTTTCTTCGGAAGTCGTTTGCTGATCTATTCTCGGATAAATCTTCCACACCGTCACTTTCTGTCCAGGCCACTCCATCCATGCACAAGGGTGAATCTGCTATTTTGTTCTCACAAGATGCCTTAGACAAATTGGTGACTCCTTACAGATTTGCGCTAGTGGGCAAGTTCTCCAGGAGGCGGCCAAAACTGGAGGACATTAGAACTTTTCTTCTCAAGCTGGATTTGCGCGAGGCAGTCACGGTTGGGCTGCTCGACCCACGACATGTGTTGTTACGTTTTCATAATGAAGCTGATTTTCATAGATGTTGGTCTCGGGGGATCTGGTATGTCCATGGATCCCCTATGCGAGTCTTCAAATGGTCGCCTGCTTTCCATGTTGATCGAGAACCGTCAATAGTTCCGATGTGGTTTCAACTGCCTAAACTTTCATTACATTTGTTCCACAAGGAGGCACTGTTTCAAGTTGTGGGAGTGCTCGGCATTCCATTGCTGATCGATGCAGCGACTGTGGCCGTTTCTAGACCAAGCGTTGCAAGGGTCTGTGTTGAAGTTGACTTATTGAAGCCGTGGCCTTCGAGAATCTGGATTGGAAATGGTGCGCACGAAGGCTTTTGGCAGGAGCTTGTACCAGAGAACATCCCTAGATACTGCTCTCATTGCTATCGCCAGGGACACATGGTGGATGAATGCCATGTACTGAATCTGTCATTGCGGACAAAGGAGACAGGAGGAGAGATGCAAGAACCTGGGCATCCTCCTAGAGTGGGTTTTGGCTCCAAACAGTGGGTTGAGGTTCAAGACAAGGAGGCGGCGCAAAATTTGATGGCAGAGGGTGGCACGCCCGTGCAGCCGGTTGTTGCCATGGATCACGCAATGAGCACAGGAAAGGAAGCTGCTGATCTGGGCAATATCCCGGAACCTGCTGCTGTGGAAACGCAGGCAGTGGATGAGGCGCTGCCTCCTCCACCTAATTCATCTATGGCTGTGGTGCCGGAGGATGGAGCAGATGCTGGATTGCAGATTTCGACTTCGAATCCACTCGAGGAGGGAAAATTCACTGATCTGGGGTCTGACGATGACCATTCCATTCATCCAGCTAATGGCACATTCACAGAGGCTGCATCGGAAGATAAGGCGATGGAGGCTAGTGACTACTCACAGAAAGTTAATGGAATTACGTCTGCTATGGCAAATGGTTCATTCTCGAAGATAGACCAAGTTCATGACCCACGTGATATAGTGTCAGGTGCAGACCCAACCCTTGTGGGTACAAGTACAAGAACAGAAACGAAATCCTCTTTGCCTCAAAATCCAGTGCCACAACTTAAAGATGTGTTCGAAGAGATTAAATGGGAGAAATTACATGGTACGGTTCCCCGACCACATCAAATGCTTTTTATTCGTTCAAGTACAACATGCAATGACGACAAAAATGAAGAAGATGAAGATGATTCACAACGCCAAAAAGACAAAGATAAAGACCAGAACCTAGTTCAAGAGCAATTTACCCGAGTGATTTCAAAGAAATCGAGAAAACAGCTTTCAAAAAAAGGTAAAACAATGCAAACATGTCAAGATGTTAAACCAAATTCCCATGCTCACTCGCAGTCACACAAATGTGGGGCACCCTCATGTGGATGATTTCTTTTGATTGATCTGTTATGTCTTTAGAATTCCTTCATATGTGAGTTTTATTTTTTATTTTTATCATTACATGTTTCTTTTCCGTTAACAGAGGTTAGGTTTGGCCCCCCTCTAAATCGCTGTATTTTTTTCGGTTATAAATAAATTAAGGGATGGCATCCCTATTAAATTAAAAAAAAATTGACCTATTATAGGTAAGAAAATAGTTCTAGCTAAACTATTCAGAAGAAAATTATTCATTGTTTTATATCTTTGATCCAACCACCCATCCGATATAAGAGTGCAACATGTTCTTTTCCATCCTTATTTGTATGTTTTAAGTAAATTCAATGTTTCTTGAACTTTTTTTTAAAAAAAGTGACTCTTACTCCATGAAATGTAGGTGGCTTAAGCGCTTTGCCATATTTACCAATTTTCTTAATTGTTAGAGGAAATAATGGGTTGTTTACAACATTAAATGGACTGGCACTTGTATAGAATCACCTAATCATAATTTGACAAACTTCATCTCTTTCTTGTTTCTTCCATTTCTCATTAATAGTTGTTTGTCTTAAATTAAACCCCTAGGTTTTTTCACAACAAATGATCCATGGAACCTTTTCTATCTCTTTGCTCATCTATTGGATGTTTTCTATCCCTCTATTCAATTTCTTCTTCATCTTGTTCATCATATACATGGCCATATCTTTGTTTCCTTTTTTCTCTCTCTCCTTAGAATTTGCACTAAACAAGTCATACATTTGTTTCCTAACACTCAGGAACTTTAGGACATGGTTCAGTATTTAAGTGTGTCCAAGCTAAGTGATGTTTAAATTTAGACACTCAACATGTATGAGTAACTCCACAGTATTTGCACATGACCTTTCTTCTTAAATTATCAATTTCAACTCCATGCTCCCACCCAAGATCTAATCCAGAACACGTTGCATTTTTTCAAGTTCCTTTCTTCAGTGCAGAAGTAGACATTTAATTACTATTAAACAATAGTTAAACATCTAAGTAACAAAAAAGTAGCTCCCTATAAAGGTAAAAAGAATCCATCACTAATTTATACTACTATATTTACTAAATAATGTTAAAATTATAATATGCATTTCACAACAAGTCACTATCAAAGTATCTCGTAATTATGCAGGCATTTTCTTGAGACATAGGATAGGGAATTAAAGAATAAATATATATTAGAAAGAAACATCCTTGTCCAACATAAGCTGAAAATTTAGTTTCTACGTGTCAAATGCTAGTATTCTTTAATGGGTTATATGTAATCACGCAAAGTTACAATTATGTCTAGACAACATTCAATTGAGGCCTTTCCTTTTTTTTCTTTACAACTACCACTAGTCAGATTAAGTTCAGAAAATATTCAATTGATCACATGCATATGAAAGAAAAAAGTTGTTTAATTATTCTGAAATTTGATAAACCAAACATGAATCACTTAAAATTTCACCCAGGCACTATCGGCTCCTGTTTATTTGTCCTTCGTCCATGCAAGATGTACTGAGCAAGACAGGGTTCCGTTGTGGTCAGCACTGTTAGTGGATAAACCGAGGATGATCCATGGTTGGTGGTGGGGGATTTTAACACCATTGTTAGTGCAGAAGAGAAGCGCGGAGGGCTGCCTTTTCGGGTAGATGAAGGTGTGGAACTAAGTTCATTTATGTCCAGGGCTGGAGTTTTTGATGCAGGTTTTTCAGGGTCACGTTTCACATGGTGTAACAATAGGAGTGGGCGCGCTCGAATTTGGAAGCGATTAGATAGACTGCTTTGTAGCCCGACTGCGACTCGCCTGAGGGTGAATTTTGGAGTTAGGCACCTTGGCAGAGATCCTCCGATCATGCCCCCCTTTTGCTGTCAGCTTCAACTAGACTTGATAACAAGCCGAGGCCTTTCCGTTTCCTAAATGTTTGGACCTCGAAAGTAGAGTTGTTAGATGTCATTCAGTTGAGTTGGATAAGCCATTGCCTAGGACGCCTGTTGCAGCGGTTGGCGGCCAAATTACGATTTACTAAACATGCAATCCAACAGTGGTTGCGGGACCATTTTGGTAATATATTTGACGTAGTGAAGCAGGCAGAAGAGGCTGCAGGGGCGGCGGAGGCTGCACTTGATAGCGTCCCAACACAACAACAATGGTTAGCACTCCAGGAGGCAAGGGCAGTAATGCGGAACTCCCTGGCCATGGAAGAAGCATATTGGAGGCAGAAAGCAAGAATCAAGTGGCTTAAGGACGGGGATAAGAACTCAAGGTTCTTTCATGCGGTAGTGGCGGAGAGAAAGGCTGTGACGGCCCCTGTGATGACCTCATCTTCCCCTAAGGCGAACCAGAGGGGTCGACGGACCGCCTGCCCAGCTCTCGCCAGGACTACGGGTCTCAAACAACTCGAATTTCGTTTAGTTTATAAAGGAAAATTCAACAAAGTGAACGATTTATCCCATTAACTTGTTCTTATAACCATAATATCATTATGCAAGAAAGTATAGCGCTCGAGCACTTCAATCGGACCAGAAAACGAAGAACGAAAATTTGCCGCGGATGAACAGTGACTGCCTGCGTCACTATCCGGCCAGAACCTGGCCGGATATCTGGCCGGATTCTCGGCCGGATAGGAGGCAATAGCTAAAACCAGAAATCGAAATTTGTCCCCTGCCAATCCGGCCAACAATCCGGCCGGAAATTGGCCGGATTGCTCTGGCCGGATTCTGGCCAGTAGCCAAAGTCCAAATTTTTTTTTCTTTTCCCCTGCCTATCCTGCCTTCTATCCGGCCAGAAACTGGCCGGATTCTGGGCCGGATTCCAAGCAGTGATTTTTCCAAAATTTTTTCCTGCTTTTATTTGAAAACCAGCGATCGTACAAATACATCAAACGCACAATATAACGAATCCAAGACTTGATAAAGACATATATACATGCCATATATACATGAGAAAGGTTCAATTTACACCTCAAAGGTACACGAAGTCATATACATCAAAAGTTCAAGTTCTCGAGGAGCCTTTCAAAACTATCACTTAACTAGCTCAACTCATATCAAAACTTGTTTCCAATCATGCTCCTGTAAGGAAAACAAAACAATGGGGGTGAGCTTACGCTCGTGAGGTACCAAATGCACAAATACATGATACGGTCATAACACATATGCATAAATGCCTTCATACAATCATCCACATATAAAAGGATACATTCGACCCTCAAGGGCCGTTTCCGACGTCCATTCTTGATCGTACTCGTTGACACTCCGTCAACCATTGAAAGTAACCAAGATCCGTAGACACCTCTTCGCACCATTTCCTTCCACCATTCACCCCCTAACCGGGCCCGCACGCCTCATAGTTCCAAAAGGTAATACTCGAGTATACCATAAAGTCGAGGAGTTAATACTCCACTCGGCTATCAGTGACCCAAAGGCACATTAACGATTCGCCCAAGCCCTAGCCGGCTCGACTCGAATAACGGCCTAAGGGTAAGAGGTCAGTTTTCACAGTGATAATAGGGCATTGCCCTAGCAGATATCAAACCATACACACATGGACTTTCACAGTTCAACAGCAACAGTAATACAGCATGTGGTCAAGAGTGGTAAAGTACACCCTTGACCTATTCAAGTCATTCAAGTCACATAACAAGTACTGTTAACCATTCAATGGTACACTCACCAAGTAAACAAGCAAATCACACGTTCGAGTCAGGAGTAGGTCCGGTCCACCGGTACGACCTAAAACAAGCAAGTAACCATATTTAAGACTCAAACACGAGTCAAAGTATAACTTTAACTTACTAGTACAAGTTACACAAAACAAATAAAAGGGAGTAACAACAGTGTGGAATGTGAACAAACCCCAAAATCCTTCCATTTCTATTCAAATCCTTCTCAATTCAAGACCACCCATAATTCCAACCAATTGGGCGGCATTTCCCCTTAATTTCTTCACATTTCCAACCTACTGAACAAACACCCAACTCATACCATTACACTTATGGTTCTTAAACTAGTCCATTCATCTCAAATGAACCACAATACACTCAAATATACATCAATTGCTAGCATGTAAGCCATACATAGAAAAGCCCCAATTTTATCATACCCTAAAAATCGAAATTCTCACAAATAGGAAATCTTCCGAAATCAACCACCATTAACATATATAGGCTCCAAACCATGCAAGATAATACCATCACATCCTAAGCTAACCATGAGAAATCATATAAAATAGAAAATTCCCCAATAAATAGAAAAATTGGCACACAATCAACCATAAGTCTTGAAATAACTCACAAAATGGCATCTTTAATCCCTATCACCACCAATTTCATCTTACAAACAACAAAGAAACAAGTCTCAAGCACTCACCTTACAAACACAAGGCACAAGTAGATGAGAGCTTTTCCTTTCAAACCAAAACCACCAATCCCTTCAATCACCCTTAGCAAGGAGGTTTTTATGGAGGAATTTGTGAATTAACCGGTTTTGGATTTCAAGATTTGGCAAGGAATTGAAGCAAAGTTGAAGAGCTTTCTTTCTTTCTTTCTTCAAGGTGGGTCGGCAATGAGAAGGAGAAAAATGAAGAATTTTGGGTCAATTTTTTTTCTCTTAATAAGAAAGGTAAAGTGAAAGTCAAAAGTCCAACTTCCAATAAGAGCTCAACATGTGTTTTTCCAAGCTTATCCAACATCTTTGTCTTATAAGACTTAATTATACTAGCTAACCACTAATTAGCTCATAACACCAGGTAATAAAGCATCCGTATATAAATTTCCCAAAGCTACGTTTTACGGTACCAATCACCCTAGTGGGTCCCACTACACAGTACACCCTTAAAAACCCAGAAAATGACCTACAACCAGAAAACGATGCAAAATTCATATTTTCTCATAAAATTCCCCAGAAAACCACAGATAAAAGAAAACCCTAAAATTAGGCCCGAAAGCCCAAAATAAAAGCCTGGAAAATAAGAAAATTTTCAGGGTCTCACACTCTCTCCCCCTTAAAGAATTTCGTCCTCGAAATTTCTCACCTGAAGCACTAAACAGTTCGGGATATTTGGTTTTCATATCATCCTCCATTTCCCAGGTTGCCTCCTCGACTCCGTGGTTTTTCCACAGAACCTTCACCAGTGGAATTTGCTTATTCCTCAGCTCCTTAACTTTCCTATCCAGTACTTGCACAGGTTTTTCTTCGTAAGTAAGGGCCTCGTCAATTTCAATCCCTCTGGCTGGACAATGTGGGTTGGATCAGGGTAATACTTTTTGAGCATGGATACATGAAATACATCGTGAATCCGCGATAGCTTGGCGGCAACTCAAGTCGGTAAGCTACCTTTCCAACTCGTTGAAGGATCGAAAAGGTCCTACGAATCTGGGTTGGAGCTTCTTTCCTCTGCCAGCAGTGACACTACGCAACGGGGTAATCTTCAAAAATACTTGGTCTCCTACCTCAAACTCCAGGTCTTTTCTTCGATTATCGGCGTAGCTCTTCTGGCGACTTTGGGCTGTCTGGAGTCTTTGACGGATTAACTTGATCTTTTCTTGGGCATCCTCCATCCAAGGGATAATGGTAGGGTCTAGGATCTTCTTCTCTCCTACTTCATCCCAGTATATTGGTGAACGGCACTTTCGCCCGTAAAGAGCTTCGTACGGTGCCATTTGGATTGATGAATGATAGCTGTTATTATAGGCGAACTCTACTAATGTCATATGTTGTCCCCAATTACCCTGAAATCTAGGATACTCGTTCGTAACATATCTTCGAGGGTCTGAATCGTCCGCTCTGACTGCCCATCCGTCTGAGGATGATAGGTAGTACTCAAATTCAACTTCGTCCCTAAGGTCTCTTGAAACTTTTGCCAAAATCTAGACACGAAACGAGGGTCTCGGTCGGAAACGATGCTTACAGCACTCCATGTAATCTTACAATCTCTTCCCAATATACCCGAGCTAACTTATCCATGGAATACTTCATATTCACAGGTAGGAAATGAGCTGACTTGGTCAATCGATTAACGATCACCCAAACGGCATCATGTCCTTTTTGAGTTCTAGGTAGTCCAGAAACGAAGTCCATGGTAATATGTTCCCATTTCCATTCGGGAATCTCCAAAGGCTGCAGTAGTCCCGAAGGCTTCTGGTGTTCAGCCTTAACTTGCTGACACACTAGGCAGGTTTGCACGCATTGAGCTATCTCTCTCTTATCTTTCCCACCAGTACAATTGTCGTAAGTCACGATACATCTTGTTACTTCCTAGATGGATTGTATATTTAGATCGATGAGCCTCCTCCAAAATTTCCCTTCTCAAAGTTTCATCATCAGGTACCACTATGCGATTTCGAAATCTTAAAATCCCTTCAGAGCTCAAATTAAAATCGGAAATTTCTCCTTTCTTCACCTTTTTACCCACTTTTGGAACCATCGGATCCTTAATTTGAGCTTCCTTGATCCTTTCCAAAAACACGGACGTCACTCGGATGTTTCCAAAGGTTATCCTATTATGCTCCAGCTTTGGATTCCATTCTCCTACAACTCCCAATAATTCCCACTCTTTCACCATCAATCCAGAAATCTGAGCCTTTCGACTTAAGGCATCGACTACCACATTAGCCTTACCAGGATGGTAGTTAATGGTATAATCGTAATCCTCTAAGAATTCCATCCAACGGCGCTGTCTCATGTTCAACTCCTTCTGGGAAAAGAGGTATTTGAGGCTTTTATGGTCAGAGTAGACTTCAAAAGTCACCCCGTACAGATAGTGTCTCCACTTCTTAAGAGCGAAGACAACTGCGGCCAGTTCAAGGTCATGAATAGGATAGTTTTGCTCATGGGTTTTCAATTTCCTGGAAGCGTAAGCTATCACATTTTGATGTTGCATCGATACACACCCCAACCCTTCTTTGGCGTCAGTGTAAACAATGAACCCGTCCGGACCGTTAGGTAAAGCTAGAATAGGGGCCATAGTTAATCTCCGCTTCAGCTCTTGAAAGCTGGTTTCACACTTATCACTCCACAGAAATCGTCCACCCTTCTTGGTTAAATCAGTTAAGGGACTGGCAAGTTTCGAAAAATCTTTAATAAACCGCCGGTAATAACCTGCCAACCCTAGAAAACTTCGGATCTCCGTGGGGTTATCGGGTCTCTTCCACTCAGTTACCGCTTCTACCTTGGCCGGATCCACAGCAATCCCTTCCTTTGAAATCACGTGCCCCAGAAAAGCGACTCTTTCTAACCAAAACTCACATTTGCTAAATTTGGCATACAACTGGTGCTCCCTCAGGGTTTGTAGGACCTCATTCAAATGTTGTTCATGCTCCTCACGGGTTTTTGAATAGACCAATATGTCATCGATAAAAACAACGACAAATCGGTCGAGATAGGGTTTGAAAATTCGGTGCATGAGGTCCATGAAGGCAGCAGGGGCATTAGTCAGTCCAAAAGGCATCACGGCAAATTCGTAGTGCCCATACCGAGAATTGAAGGCAGTTTTAGGCACATCATCTTTCTTAATCAAAAGTTGGTAATACCCTGTCGAAGGTCTAATTTAGAGAATACCACTGCACCTTGCAATTGATCAAATAACTCATCAATGTGGGGTAGGGATACTTATTCTTAATCGTCACGTTGTTCAACCCTCGGTAGTCGATACATAGTCTCAATGTCCCGTCCTTCTTCTTGACAAAGAGAACAGGCGCCCCCCAAGGCGATCCGCTCTCGTGAATAAACCCTCGCTCTAAAAGGTCTTGCAACTGTAATTTCAACTCTTTGAGTTCCGCAGGTGCCATTCGGTAGGGAGTTTTGGAAATAGGGGAAGCCCCTGGGCATAGGTTAACTTCAAACTCAATTTCTCTTTCTGGAGGCAGATTTACTAACTCGTCAGGAAAAACATCGGGTATTCACTCACTACTGGGACGTCTTCTATTTTCAGTTTATCGGCAGGAGTATTAATAAGAAAAGCTAGGAACCCTTGTGCCCCTCTACTCAATAATTTCCTAGCTCGAATACCCGAAATCATAGCGGATGAGGCTAGACTACCCCTCACATCTAACTTCAAAGTTGCCTCCCCAGGAATGCGAAATTCAACAGTTTTCCGTTTACAGTCTAGCTGAGCACCGTACCGAGCCAGCCAATCCATGCCTAATATCACATCGTATCCCTTTATGGCTAAACTTATCAAATTCCCCAATAACTTCCGCTCACCTACCCAGATTTCACAATTCGTGTACATTTTACTAGAAGTCAAGCTTTGGTCTCCCGTAGGAGTACTAACTTCCAACTCGTAAGGAAGAGCAACAGGGTTTATATCAATTCCACACATAAACTCGGGGTTAACAAAGGAATGGGTAGCTCCAGGGTCTATCAAAATTCTAGCTAGGCGGTGGAAGACAGGAATCGTACCTTCCACTACCTCGGCGGAGTCAGGAACTGGCCGTTGTTCAATGGAGTACACCCGTGCAGGTACCTTTGGTTTGGTACTGTCTACCCGGGATTGACTTGAGGTAGCCTTAGATGTCATCGGGGTAGTTCCTCTCGTCACGTGCCTGGACCGGACAGTTGGCGAACCGGTGCTCCGCACTTCCGCACCGCAAACACTTATTCTGCTTCCTCCAGCAGTCGTCCTCCGTGTGATTGGGTTTCCCACAAAAGTTACACGGACCACGCCTACAGTAGCGGAACTCCCTTGTGTGGTGCTCCTCGGCGGCCCTCGGCCTGGTTGGCTTCCTCGAAGAAGCCCCTCTAGCTGGACTCGAAAATCGTCCCCCTCCAGCTCCCCTTCCAAATTTAGGAGGGGAGGGGTACTCTTATCCCCTTGAGTTGAGCTACTCCCAGCAGCTCCACGCTTTCTATTTTGGAAGCTCCTCACCTGGAGCCTTGCGTTCTCAGATCGTAATGCTTTCTCAACAGCATCACTGAAAGTAGTGATTTGGGCAACGGCCAAATCCTTTTGGATTTCCACATTAAGCCCCTGAAGAAAACGCCTCGCCCTCCTTTGTTCGGTCAGAATGAGCTCAGGGGCAAACTTGGACAAGCGTGTGAATTGGCTCTCATATTCGGCCACCGATTGCGTGCCTTGGCGTAGACGAATAAATTCGTCCTCCTTTTTCTCCTGAACCAACGGCGGAAAGTACTTGGCATTGAATTCTCTTACAAAATTCGTCCAAGTCCTTGGCGTCTGTTCTCGCTCCCACTTGGTCCGGATAATATTCCACCAAGAGCGAGCGGCACCCTCGAGTTGGAAAACCGCAAAGGTCACCTGTCTCTCCTCCGAGTAACGTAGGGCGGCAAAAATGTCTATCATCTTCTCCAACCATTGTTCCGCTATGTCAGGATCGGGCCCTCCAAGAAATTTAGGCGGAGAAAATTTTTGGAATCGTTCGAGAGCTCGGTCTTCGCTCTCGGCATGATTTCCAGGGTTTCCAGGGTTGCCGACTGGTGGATTTGGGTTGGGACCCTGTGTTTGTACCACCTGGGCAAGAAGATCAGTCATCCGCTGGATAGCAGCGGCTACTTGAACATTAGGATCGATTTGGGGTTCAGGATTTGGGTCGGGCACTACGGTTTCTGGATCCCGTTCAGTCGCGGGCTGTCTACCCCCACGTCCTCGACCACGGCCACTACGCGTGCCTTCCATCGGTCTAGGTCAATCTAGGTCAAAACATACACATAAGTATAACAGCAACAATAAAGGGTACATACCCTTGTACACAACAAACATGAGCACTTAACCAAATAATCATTTCACAACACACTTAGGCACTTAACACATAGTCATGGCATTCACAACAAGATCAAACATTTATACAAAACAGTCAGTCAAGTACAAACAGGGAGAATCCCTTACGGAAATGGCGTTACAAAAGTAATATATACAAGACTAGTCTACCTTACAAAACGACTAGATAAAGGTCCTCCCCGACCCACCATTCCGTATCCCATATATATACAAGAGTCAAAACCGTCCAAGGTGGTCTAAAAGCCAGACCCTAGCCTACCGTGGGACTAGAGGACCTACTCGCTTGGGCGGGTTCACCTCCAACTCCGCCTCCTACACTAGAGTCCTCGTCCCCACCTCCTACACTAGAGCCCTCGTCACACTCGTCCCCTACTAGGTCATCACATAGGTTCAGAATCGATCCGGCTTTCTCCTTTAGTTGTCTCGCCCTCTTGGCCGTACGTTTGTGCATCTCCTCAAGTTGCGAACACAAGTCGTCCACCCTATCTTGACCTTCACCTAGGTCATATTCCAATTCCTTAATTCGCTCAGCTTGCCTCTTGTTGGCCTCACTTAATCGATTTACTTCAGCTTCAAGCCTTGCACAATCCTTGGCCAACTCCTTCCTTTCTTTGTCCACGGCCAATACTAGAGTATTGGGATAGGCAAACCTCTGACGGCACTCACAACGCGAAGGCGACTAGACGGACTCCAGCGTACCGCTGACCCTCTCGCCGGATCTGGTACTTGATCACCGGAAGTACTCCACGGTCCCGTTCCACGGTCGGTCTCTCACTAGACCCACTAGGCACGTCCATCCTGCACGAAAACGCAAATAAACTTAACACCCTTAAGAAAATAATCGCATACAAGTCCCAAGTCAAGAAATTTCTAACAAGCCCAGGTTAATCTAAACCTAGGCTCTGATACCACTTGTGACGACCC